GTGAGCTGGTGCGCCACTGCGGCCTTGAGCTGCTCGTTCTCGTGCAGCACGGCGGCTTTGGCCTGGCGCTCTTCCTTCGCGATTGCTTCCCAACGCGACGGCGTCGGGGCGGGCCGGCCGCGGCGCGTCTTTGACATCTCGGTTTGCAACATCCGCACCTGGTCGCGCAGCGCGAGGATCTCTTGCCGCTGCCTGTGCTGGAAGCGGTTCTTTGGCTTCCGCGCGGGCGGCTCGTCGTCGCTCGGAGGGGCCGTCTTGCGCTTGGCACTCGGTGGGGCGCTCTGTTCGCTGTCGCTTGACGAGCCTTCGAGGATCGCGCAGAGCTGCGAGAGATCCTGCGTGAGCTGCGCATCGTTCGCGATGAGGAACTGGATGTCATGCAGGAAGGTCTCGTCCGCCCCGCTTCCTGCCATGGCCAAGGCGTGGATAATAGCCGAACCGACGTACCGTAGCCGGTTGTGGTTTGAATTCAGTAGATTAACCGGTTCCATATCCGGTTCGGTGCACTTTCTCTATGACGTGGCACAACAAGACGGCACAAGACGGTATATTGCAGAAAGTGAGAGACTGTCCCCAGTAGCAACAAGCAATTACCGCGTTGGGTAATTGCCTACCTCAGGACGACGTTAAATGATAAAACGTGATGCATGGTTGTACCAAAGGCGTACTATTTACCCTTGGATATCCCTTGAACTTATAAAAACCTCTCAATTTGTCTCCCTGCACCTACAATCCTACAAAGCCCGTCGGCATCAAGCACTCGGCAGCTGTGTACAGCACAGATAGCACTTGATGCGTCACTTATTGGATGACACGAGTTACTCTGATATTTTATACGCGGGGCATTCGAACATTCATTCGATGGGGGAAAATGGCTCGTACCGTAAGTTTCTCCTAGCTAACGGTACTGCTCTATGCTGCTCATACGCTGTCGTCTGCATTGTAGCCCCGAGACGAACACAGCGCCACTCATGAGTACACCAAGTTGTTTGGGTCGTCACACAGTTCGTTGCTCTCGGTGGCAAAACAGAATGAAGCCACTGGCTTTACATTATTTGGAGCAAGCATTGTAGCCCGCAATACTGCTACTACCTTGGGCCGCACAACGCTTCAAAGCCTGCAACACGAGTGCATTTGTACAACGAGGCCATACAGCTTCCATGCAGCAGCGCGAACCCAAAGGCAAGAGGCTGGTGTCACAGCCCTAACCCCATCGTTCACACGTGACGCTGCCCCCGTTCCTAAACACGTCAGCTTTGGCATACTAGTGCACGGCGAAATATGATTACGGCAGACTACGTGGCATCGCACGACGTCAACTAGTCCATCGTTTGACGCGACACGACGACCGGGAGACCAACGCATCCATACAAAAACAGGTCGGGCGCTCAACGTTGTAGAAACCCGTCGCCTCCTTTACACGCGTTGCCTTCTCCACTGTGAACCACTCTCTCTTTTCCCACGTCGTTGTCAAAGCCACCAACATGCCTTGGCTGCCGCTCCCTCTTCTCCTCCTCCTGGTGCTGGGCCTCGCCACCGCCGACGACGCGTGCCATCTTCCGCACCACCCGACAAGCGCCACGACACGGCTCTCCGGCGGCCAGATCGAGTACATCTTTGGCCAGCCCCGGGAGCCAGGCGCCATTTACCGAGCGTGCGTGAAGGGTGTGGTCACGTGCTTTGAAGACGACGGCAACGCCGACGGCGACGAGGACGACCCCGTGAGCTGCCACAAGGCGGACGCTCAGCGCCGACTCGGTCTTGCGACGCAGCACACACATCTTTTATGGCCCCTTGCAACGCTCTGCTACCAGATCGAAAGTCCCTTTACGCTCACGGAGATGGACGTGATTCAAAACGCGATGAACGGCATTGTCACCCCGACGGGCGTCTCGATGCTGACGCTCGACGAGTGCAAAGCGTCGCCACGTGCGCAAGGTCTCTGTGGTGGCTGTGCACACTATGTGTCGATCCACCAGCGCCCGCACCGCCGTGGTACGTACGCGGCAGTCGGGTACCTCCAGAAAGCGGGCCAAGACATCAACTTGCAGCCAAGCGCGTTCAAGCACGGGAGCGGCACCATCATGCACGAGATGCTCCACGCCTTTGGCGTCTCGCACGAGCACGTGCACCCGGCGTCCGAGGCGATTGTTCTGCGCGGGCACAAACTAGCAGCCTCGCGCAACAACTATGTGCTGCGCCGAGAGGCCTTTGTGACGCAGTACGACAAGCACTCGATCATGCATTACGGCCACGGCGTGTGTCTGCCCAAGAACAAGAGCGTCAAGTACTGCAACATTGAAGAGAGCGAGGCGGACGGGTGCGTCGTCCCGACGGCCGCCGACTGCGACGAAGAGGCGTCGTCGGTCCTTGGTCAGCGCGACGGCATGAGCCCCGGCGACATTCGGACGCTCCAGGTATTGTACGAGCTTCCGACGACCATGACACAGCGCGATGTATCGGTCGACGATGACGTTCCATCATAAAGAAGCATCGAGTTTATAACAACATTGTTTTCTATTCCCTGAATTGAATAGTCGAAGGAGAACGAGGGATCTGTGAGATAATTCGAGACGAATCCTCAGGGTGTGTACAGTATTGTCTATCGAAAACTGTACAAGTCGGGTGGGCGGAGCGTGCATGGCGGTCGGCAGCCAGGAAACATACTACTTTGCGTATAGTATAGTTTACACAAGGTTTAAAGTGGGTTGGACCGATCGGCCAATCAAAACGCGGCCTAAAAAGGCAAAATCCATTTGGGTTGACCAGGCAGCATGCGGCTCACTGCGACGCTCGCGAGCCTCAGCGCTGTCGTTGGCGCCGTCAAGGTCTCGTCCGGGTGGCTGCCGTGCCCGCTTCGTACTGGCGCGTCGCTGTCGCCCGACACCAACTACCACATGGACAACACGCGCTGCGCGACGCTCGACGTGCCGCTGTGCTACGACGGCGTCTGCACCAGCGACAAGACCATCTCGGTGTTTGTCAAGCATTTCAAGGCGACCAAGCCGCCGGCGCCTGGCTCGCCCCGCCAAGCGCTCTGGTTCCTCCAGGGCGGCCCTGGCGCGTCTTCGATTGTGAGTACGTCAACCGAGGACGACCCTCGCCACGTCTCACTAACCATTGATCATCTAGTGGAATCGTACCAG